AGGAGTTGGAGGTTGCTGTGAGCTGTAATGCCACGGCACTCTACCCAGGGGGACAGCTTGAGGCTCTGTCTCAAAAAAAAAAAAAAAAAACAAATACGCCTTCCTCGTCAAGGAAATGTTTTTGCTGCCCTGAGACCCACATGACTTTCAGGTCTGAGAAAACCAAGGTGTCTCATTTGATGGTCTGGGTTCACTTCCTGAGAACACAGTTTATAAAATATATCTCTGTAAAACTGCACTAAACTAGTCGGGAAAGACCCAAGCCCCTAAGCAAGGCAGTGATGGCTTCTGAGTGGAAGGGAGCGCCATCCCCGGCCCCATGATGCCTCCTCCCACCTTCCGCACGGACTCCAGCTCCTGCTGCTTGTTTTCGTTGGCTGCCTGGAGCTCCTTCATCTGCCGTTCCAGCTCCTCCTGCTCCGCCAGCAGCTTCTTCCGGAGTTCTTTCCGGCGTTGGCGGGCTTCTTTGTGGGGTGGAGGGCTGCCCAGCTTCAACAGATGGATAGTAGAATGAATGGCTATCAAGATACAGGAGAAAAAATGAGAAATATTCTTTCTTCTTTAAAAAAAAAAAAAAAAAAGTATACTGGCCAGGCGCGGTGGCTCACACCTGTAATCCTAGCACTCTGGGAGGCCGAGGCAGGTAGACTGCCTGAGCTCAGGAGTTGGAGACCAGCCTGAGCCCGAGTGAGACCTCGTCCCTAAAAAAGTAGCCAGGTGTTGTGGCAGGCACCTGTAGTACCAGTTCCTTGGGAAGCTGAAGCAAGAGATACGCCTGAGCCCAAGAATTTGAGGTTGCTGTGATGCCATGGGACTCTACCAAGGGCAACAAAGTGAGACTCTGTCTCAAAAATATAAAATAAAACAATGTAACCAACCTTTTTACTGTATCTTTCCAATCTATAGGTTGGTTGGTTGGCTTTAAAGACAGGCTATCTTGCTGTATCCCCCAGGCTGGCCTCAACTCCTGGGCTCAATCAGTTCTCCCACCACCTCAGCCTCTGAAGGAGCTGGGACTACCGGTGCTCCCCAGTGCATCCACCTTGAAATATTCTTTATTCGCTATAACCCTAACATGCAAATGACACAGTGGGAAGAAAACTAGATAGGAAATCAGAAGACCCGGTTTAGATTCTGATTTTCCACTCAGTAGTGGTGTGACCTTGAGCAAGTCACATGATCTCTTCCACCATAAGTTTGCTCATCTCTACAATGAGAATGATCTACGAAACCCCCTCCAATCCAAAGTTCCATAACTGTATCTGTGTTTAAAGAGATACTCTTGGATAATATGGTACACATTTTTTTTTATTTTTTTGTTCAGTACAGTTGAAAGAACACATTTTAAGAACACAAGACAATGATTTCAACTCCCACCTTTATAATTCTCAAAAAGTCAAATAAGAATAAGACATAGTGGCTCGGCGCCTGTGGCTCAAGCGGCTAAGGCGCCAGCCATGTACACCTAAGGTGGCGGGTTCGAATCCCCAGTCCGGGCCCGCCAAACAACAATGATGGCTGCAACCAAAAAATGGCCAGGCGTTGTGGCGGGTGCCTGTGGTCCCAGCTACTTGGGAGGCTGAGACAGGAGACTCGCTTGAGCCCAGGAGTTGGAGGTTGCTGTGAGCGTGATGCCATGGCACTCTACCCAGGGGGATAGCTTGAGGCTCCGTCTCAAAAAAAAAAAAAAAGAATAAGACATAGTAAAGCCAGAGAGTCAAAGTTCCTGCTATCTGCTTTGCAAACTACTGTGGTTAAGTTAGTCTGCCCTTCCTCTATGCCTTATGAAACCATCTCTCTATATACTCCCTTCCTGAGATAACAGATAACAGTAGCTGACATTTACTTCAAAAATAAAATATACATTCTTTACATGTATTATCTAACTTTTACATAAAATCTGATTCTTTCCTGATATTTTTATGACTTAAATGTAACTTCTTAGAACAGCTAACACTCACACATTGTTCAAATTCAAAAAACCCTTAATTCTCTCCCCTACTCCTATCCTGCAAGTACCAGGTTAGCCTCCCCACTAGTGACTAATGCTAACAGTTTCTTGTGCATCTTTCCTGAGATATTTTAAGCCTATGCAAATTAATCTGTGTGTATGTTCTCCTCCTTCTTTTGACACAAATGGTAGCATAGTCCACTCTTCTGTGCCTGTGTTTTCACTTTATTTATCTTGGAGAGTTTCCCATTATCAGTACATAAAGTACTGCACAGCACACACCACTGCGCAGCTGTACCATCAGTTATTCAAGCATTTCCCAATTAATGGACACTTAGGCTGTTTGCAATGTATGTCAATTTGAAAATGTGCCGAGTATATCTGTTGTCATCTAATCCCCACAATAACCCCAGAAGTAGGTACTGTTATTATCCTCATTCAACCGAAGAGGAAAACAGATACAGAATTCACAGCTCGACCAAAGACCCAGGAAAAGTATGCAAACCCAGGTACACCTGCCTCAAATTCTTAAACCACATCAGAAATGACCACAATCTCCAAAATAACATAATTCTACCTAGGCCTAAGAATATAATATTCATAATCTGCTTTCAGAATTATGTATATATATATATACATACACATATATACATACATATACATACACACATTACATTTTTTACTAATTTTGGAATAATGTAATATTTTAGTTTAAAAGTTAATTCAGGCTCGGCGCCTATAGCTCAACCGGCTAAGGCGCCAGCCACATACACCTAAGGTGGCAGGTTCGAATCCCCAG